GCCTTGTTCCTCCATGCTAGCAAACAGCAGTTATTAACAATGAAGGTAAAAGATAAATATTGACTAAACTAAAGGATTCTTTTTTTTGGAAATCTACTCAGTCACTGTTAATTAAAATAAGCATAGCTGTTTTCTTCTATTTCAAAAAAATGTGTCTTACGTGGTTCTTTTAGTAAGGCAGTTAAAAGATGGCTAGGTACATGGATTTCTCCACATCTTCCTTCTGGAATCAAGCAAAAGACAGACAGAGGGCAATTTCTAGTGAAGACAAGAGTGTTTCTCTAGTCAGCAAAGACCTGCATTCATTGTGTAACGCAGTGTGGGCTCTAAAGCAAGAGACAGCCTCGGGCTTATTTATAAATATAGTTTAGGAAGTGGTCAGTGTAATTTCAACCTCCATGATACTTTAAAAGTAAAAGTGATACATTATGAGACCTGGGTAAACCAATGTTTCAAAAACACTATGTGGTTTTATCAACATTTCCTAAATAGCGGTTTAGATGTTAAAGAAAATCTTTCAAGAAAAAAATATCAAGAACTTAATACCAAAAAAATCCATTTGTTTCTCACCATTTCTTTTCAAGTGAATGACACTTAAAAGTTATTATTCCTTTCCTTTTTTGTTTTTAAATCACTAATTGTCTATTTCCTCTCTTATGGGTTCTCTTTTAAGATCTCAGTTTTTACGAATATTAATTACAGCACAAAAATCATTTTGGATTTTCCTATTAGAAAGAGATGACAGAGTAAAGAAAGTATTAGTGCAGCCTCGGTAGCACAAGCAAAATGGGAAAACGAGCATATTGAGCTTCTTCTCTTGAAATGTAAGTGGTTCATGAAATACTACCTTTTCTGTTTTCTTCTTTCCTGAGCCCCTTTTTTCTCTAAATAGAAAAACATTCCTAGTAATGTTTAAAATATTAAGGAACAATAATTAAATTCTAATAAAAAGACATTATTTTTGTACTTACAACTTTTCAAAATGGCAACATAGTTTACTGTCACCCAAACTAACCGTTTCTGCCTATTTGTTAAGGAATCAAAGACAAGATATGAATAAAATGTGCTGCCCAAAGACATAATCAGAATGGAGGCCTTGGAAATGTTTTGGGTTTTTTTTAATCTAAAATTCCACCTAAAAGTCTTAAAAACTGTTGGTTTCTTTTAGGCACTTACCCTCTACCCACAAATCTACTGCCCCCTGCAGCCCAGTATATATTGATGAATAGCTTGCATAAATAATCGAAATTCAAATTAAGGGAAGATAGCCTAATAATGTTCCTCACATAGATTCAGTCAATAAGCACTTGCTGCGGGTGGGGGTTGCTATGAGACACTGCCCACATGTAATGAACTCACCAAAATGTTCCAAAACTTTCCCTTCCTAGCAACTTTGATTTTGATCAAACTAGCCAAAAATTTACCTAAACCTTCCTATTGCATTTATACTTTTGACGTTTTACAACTTCTTGGAGTAATAATGTTCTTTCTATATCTACTAAGATCACTTGTTAAGAATTATTGTAATTCCTTTTATTTTTCTAAAAATGGTCTTGTCTTTTATCTTAAAACTAAAGAGAGGAATTCCCTACTTCTACTATGCGGGGATTTGGCTATAAACTATGTTTGTATCCATCCTACTCAATGGCCCTCGTTATTTTATTTTATAGACTTTGAATCACCAGTAACAATTTGAAATGCTTTCCCATAACAGACTGAGTCAACTAAATAAGGAGAATAAAAATCCAATCTCAAGGGTGTAAAATAACAGCAAATAGGTACCAGCGCTGGAGCCTGTGATTCTGGGAAATTGCAACAGAGGAGCCTGGAACTTTACTAGGAAATCCTCAGGTTTAAAAGCTATGCCCAAATATACCACACTTCTTGCCCCTTTGTCGTGCATCATCAAGAAGACCTCTGATGGATTTCTAACTGGCTGAGATTTCAGTTCATTAGCGATATCCATGGACAAATACACGCCTGATGTTTTCTCTGTGTCCATGTCCCTTTCATATCTAATCTCTCTCTCTCTCTCTCTTCCTCTTTCTGTGTGTGTGTGTGTGTTTCTGTTGCTTTCAACATCTCTCTTTTCCTCTTTGGGTGTGAAAGAGAGAGAAAGGGTTTTCTTCCTCCACATTTGTCTTTGGGCCTGGGCACATGCCCATCTGTGTGTTTATCTGTGTGCATCTCTCTATGTATATATTTCTATGTTCATCTGACTCTTACTATGGATCTGATCTTTTTATAAGGAGGAAATGATGTTGTATCAGAAAGAGAAGTATTTCATGGGGTAAAAGTAAACAGATAATCCCAGCCTCTGCTCCCTCAATTTTTAAATATGTTGTGAGAGCTGCCTCCTTTTCTTTCTTTTTCCACTAAAGCTCTTCCAACACTTCACTTCCAATGTTGTTGTTAGTGAATAATGAAATCTTCAGTGTGATGAACCCAAGCCATCTATGAGAATCCTGAAGGGAATTTCCTGTTTAGTCTCAATTAAACAATTTCTCAGATTGAATTTTTCTATCTCTGCCAAATCATATAGAAATGGCAACAACTGTGGGATACTCCCACATGAATGTGTGGACCAATTTAACACTGGAATTCTCAATTTCCGAGGTTCTTCCTGTAAAAGTGGCGATGAGACTGTCAGTATTTGTTATGTGCACATGCGCATATACTTACCCCAAGTATCTAATACATTTCAAACAAAGCTCAGAGGTTTTGAGTAGTGGTATTAAAAGTTAGCCACAAGCAATTAGAGGTGGTATTTAAAATGCCAAAACAGATAAATTTTCATTCGCACTTGATGTTCTCTACAGAAAGAAACATTAAGCCAATAAAACAATTATGAGCGTGAAGAGTAAAAAAGATAAAACACTCATTAATTTGGATAGTAAATACAAAATGGAGGCAACAGAAGCAGATATTTCTAAGCCACATAAGGTAAATCTTAATTTCACAGTCTATCTAAAATAAAAGACATTGTAAAAACGGACTCATAGTTGCAGTCTGTGTAAGAAGTTTCAACCGAAGATGCTCTATCAGTAAACTTCAGTCAAGGAATTCACACCTTCTTTCTGGTTACCATGCAGAGCAACAGAGAGCCTATGGGCTTTATTTTTTAAGGCCTTCTCTGAAAAGTCCTCTCACAGACAAAATTGTATGAAGTCGAAATAACCCAAGAGGATGAAAAAGCTGAAATAAGGCTGATATATCTTAAACAACTGATTCCAATAATCTTTAAATTTCCCAAACTGGTTGATTTAACAGTAATATTTTCTTTGTACTCTAGGTCTTTGTGTAATACTAATACAAGGAAATAATTTATAAACATAGAAATTGCCTGCCATTATGAATTTACATTTTATATTTTCATAAAAAATCAAAAACACAGTTGAAATCACACTGGAATGGCTAAAAATATTACAGATACTTTTTAAATAACTAGCCTAGGCTTATTAGCTATTTTTTCAACCCAAAAAGTCTGCTGTAGACTTGTATAGTATCAGGCATTGACCAAGGTGGAAGAAATAAAGTCACAAGCTTCAAATTAAAACCAAATACCATGTCAGAGATTTATGAAAAATACCTTAGCATGCTTAAATATATATAGTCCCCAAGCCAGGGGAAATATTTGCAAGCCTAGTTTTAGAAAAGATCTGAATCTAAGAATTAGTATAAACTAATCTACCAATTCAGGAAAAGCATAATTATATTTAATTATTTATTATAATTTGAGTGTGCCTCTATCTTGCCCACTAGGCAGGGAGCTACTTGAGAACAGAAACGTCTTAACCATTTTTTTTATACAAAGGCCCCCAAAGAGTGTTTCTTGTGTAAGGCACCCAAACAAATATTGTTTCAATGAATGAATGAATGAACAATGAATTATGGAACTGCATAAGAGTTTTTCAATGCTTTGGTCCAAGCTCTACTGTAATCAATATGCAGAAAAGTCTTTCTGATAACTCTTCAAGCAAGGGGCCTCAAAATAAAATGACAGGCCTCTGAAGAAAAAAAACTTTAAAGGATACTTTACATATCTTGCTTATAAAATTGAAAATTACATAAGAGAATTAAAGACAAGTGGAAAATGTAAATTTCAGTAAAATACAAAGTTTATGAGGTCTTAAAATGTGAAATATGTAACCATCCCCATTCAAAATATCTTAGAGGAAATGAATGCATAAATGGATGGCATTTTAAAGACACTTTAAAGCAAGAAAACCTTAACACTAGCAGCAAGGTAGAATGGCATTTTTTTACTTCTTTCTCCAGTTACTTTTAAAGCACAGTAGCTATTGCTTCCCTTCTACATTTCTCCTGTTTAAATCAAATCAAACATATCACAGAGATTAACATAGACCAACACACAAAGAAAAAAAGGAAAGAAAGAAACTTTAAACACAAAATTTGACCATACTGATTGCCTTCCCATTTTTCAAGTATTAACTCTCTTTATTAGGCTCAGCTCCAACTACTCCCCCGCACAGGGTTCCTTTCAGCGGTGCCCATTGGACCCAAAAGCCATTCCAGAGACTTAAATCATATTAAGTAGCCACTTTCACAGCCATTCCCAACTTGAGGGAAACCCTTCTAACCGAGATTCACTCTAAGAATTTGATCATTGTCTGCAGCCTACCTGGGAAAAAATATGGGAAAAGGATGAACAAGAAAGATATCCTTCCCCAAAGCGAAACTCAACTCTATTATCCAAACGTACCTACTCCCTACCCGCTCCCCCATCGCATCCTCGGTACCAGGCTCTGGACAGGTGGGAGGGGGTGAGTACGTCTTGGGAAGGGGATGCAACTAACTTTCCTCCACCACTTCATTCCCACTCCCACCCCAAATCAGTTCCAACTAGTAACTGAAGCCACCAGGTAGGGCTGTCTGCATCCCCCTCCCCCCCAGGAGTGTGATGGGATGGGGAGGATGGGGGGCGCGCGTCGGCAGGGTGGAGGGGAGAGGGATGTTCTTAAAACTGCAACTCTTCTTACCGCTGGAGCGCCTGACGATGTTCTCCAAAAATGTGTTCTGCGGTGCCACCAGCCCTCTCTTGCCCCCCGGCATCCTGGGTCTGGAGAGCGGCGGCCAGGATCCGCGGCGGGGGAGGGGGGCAAGCAGGAAGAGAAGGCAGAGGAAGAGGAGAAGGTGGAGGAAAAGATCGAGCCGAATGAAGAGGGGGCGCGGCGGCGGCGACGGGGTCCCCTGACTGTTTCTCCAGCCGGACCCGGATGAGCAGCTCTGGGGAGGAGGACCAGGCAGTTCATGGTAGTAGCGCTCCCACGGCCGCCGCTGCCCAGACTGTGGCGGTGCCGCACACGCGGCTCGGGAACTGCAGGCTCCGCGGGGCACAGTGCGCCTGCGCCGCCCCCGCTGTCGCTGTCCCGCCGGTGCTGATGCTGAAGCTGCTGCTGAGGCTGCTGCCGCGGCGGCGGTCGCCCGGGCGCGGGCTCAGCATTTCTCCCCCTGCCCCGCGCCCCGGGGCCGGGAGAGCGGGAAGAGCCAACTCGAGACCTGTCTCCCAGTCCCTCTTAGCCCAGACCCAGACACCTTTACTGCGTCTTCTTCTCCTCCTGCCCTAGCGCACCCGTCTCGCGCAGCTGGATCACGGCTGCCCAGTCGAGCCCAACTTCTGCTGCGCTGTGCGCCTGGAGGCGGCTCCTCTCTCCCCGGAGATCGAGGCAAACGCTTGCGGTCCAATGGGGCAGTGGAGTGAACGAGGAAGTGGGAGACGCAGGCAGGATGCCAGAGAGGGCAATGGACAGGCGGAAGGGGTCACATCTCAGCTTCTCCCTTTGGGGTCCTGAGCCCCGGCTACTCCCGAGGACACGACTCCGGGGGAGAAGGTGTCGATCAGCTCCCGCTCCAGCTGAGGCTGAGCGCCGAGCAGGGACTGACAGGGCGGTGCGCTGGGACGCAGAGCAGCCACCTGACGCTGCTACCGCCCCCCTCCGGGCTTTGGCGCCCGAAGCTCAACAGAGGAGCTTTCATCACCCGCCCTACCCCACGCCCCAGAGCTCGAGCCAGATAGGGTCGGAGCGCAGAGCAGGCACGGGAAGAGCCTCTGTGCCGGGGCTGGCTCTGGCGCGCGGGGAGGCGTGCAGCCGCACAGGGGAGCTTCCCCAGGGCTGTCGAGCGCAAGAGGCGAGCCCCGCCGCGCTGCTAAGTTGCGGAAAAGGTTGCACTTAATGCGGGGAGTAGGCGAAGAGGGCGAATAATTCACACGAGAGGCGGGGAGCGCAGCTGGCAGCGTTTGCGGTGGAAACACAGTGAGGGCAGCAGGAGCGAAGCTGCGCAGGGCATGGGGCATACCGGCAGGCATGGTCCCTAACAACCCACTGTCCGCTCGGAACCGGGGACAGGAGTGGAACCCTTAGTAAACAGAGTCCAAAAGCCAGAATCTACCGCGGAGAAGGGAAAATGGCATAAGAGCGAACGGAGAGCGGAGAGGCGGAAAGAAAAGGGGGAGCTCGCGCCGCGGCACCTCCTTTTTATCTAAGACAGTGGTTCTCAAAGTGGTCCTGGACTGGCAGTGTCTCCTAAGAACTTGTTAGAAGTGCAAATTATCCGGCCCTACCCGAGAGCTAGGGAACCAGGAACTCAGGGGGTGAGGGCCGAAAATCTCTTATAACAAGCCCTCCAGGTAAATACGATGCCGGGTTGAGAAGCACCGATCTAAGGCTTTCCCTCCAGAGGCTCCACGTGGGCCTGTGAGAAAGGACGGCTGCACAAGCAGGGTCAAGGAGAGGAGACAAAAAGTGCGCTGCGGCAAGTCAGAGGCTGAGGCGAAGCGTTGAGCGGTGAAGGCAAAGGAGAGACAGAGGGGGCGGGCGTCCCCTTTTGCTGGGATCAGAATATACCAGGTAACCCCTGTTAGAAATGGTCAAGGATAGGTTGCCCGGAAGCAGCGGGACTCCCCAGGCTGGGGTCAGAGGAAACCTGCTCAGAGCTTGCTCTGGGCGGGGAGGAGGGGAGGGAAGGTGTCTGACTTCCTTTGGAACCTCCTAGATTACCCATCATTGACCTCGAGCCACGATCTCTCCAGAGCACCCAGGATAAGGACCGTTGCCTGTGGCCAAGAGACACATAAATGCATAACCGGGATCCAAGTTTAGCTTAGGGTCATTTTTTCCCTCTCCCCTCTGAAATTTCCACCCATTCGCCCAGAGCTTGGGCAGCTGAGCAAATCCAGAAGGTTGATGTGAGGTAAAGAGGAGTTTGCTCTGCCAGGATTTCTTCCGCAAAAACTCAAGATATTTGGCGGAATAAAACTAGGCTATTCGAGCTTTCTACCCGAAGCATGCTGGTGGTGCAAGTTTATTCCCCTACAGCTAGAACGTCTTCTGAATACACCGTGGCGTCTTTAGTTAAATAATACGGGACTGCCTGTGCAGATTGGGTCCGTATGGTTACAGCCCCTCCCTGGAGTTGACCCCTGTGTGTGTATGAGGGAGGGGAACTGGAAAGCAGTCCTTAAACACACAATTGGATTTTCCCCTCTGGTGGGTCTTGTATGACCTGCGTTCATGGCGACTAGGCTAGTGTACAGACAGACCCTGGTCCTAGACTTAATCAGCCATTCACAGAATGGGGTGGAGAACAGGCAGGCTAATCTTTTTAAAATATATATATATATAATTCCTAGATTGCTATCCTAGACTTCTAACATGATATGATAAATCCGTCGACATCATTAATGGGAAATATTTCAAATCTGTATGTTCTTTTGCACATCATCAGCTGCCCACATCTCACCTCTGGGTATTGATATAAAATCTCTGCTTCCCAGCATTCCCATCTAGTATAAATATCCCTGCTCCTAATCACTCCTCTGTGGGTGTATGAGCTCACACTTCCCAAAGAGGAAACTCTTTTGGACTCCATTAAGACACAGTCACACAATTACTGGTAGAACGTCCTCATTTATTTCCATCTGCAATTAAATTGACATTTGTCTTTTCTTCTTTATCCTTACTAACTGCATAGCATTATAACTTTGGGATTATTTTAATTACTGTAAAAAATTGGTAGTTATAAAGGATCAAATTCTTGGTTTACACAATTTTCTTAATCTTCTAGTTTAAATTTTCATTTTGTAGAGGAAGAAACCAAGACCCAGAGAGTTGAAGTGCCTAGTCCAATATGACACAGTGCTGTACTGAGACTAGAATCAGCTCTTCTGACCCCATAGCCAAGCTCCCTATAAATAATAGAAAGCATTATGGCTTGGCTTAGTGTGGGAACAACCAGCAACCTCCAGGGACATCTATTGCAGTCGCTGATTTTGCAGCACTAGTGAGAAGAGAAACCGTTGGCAACAACTTGCAACAGCTCCTAATCAAAATAGAGTTAGGGAAAATGGAGCGGCACCGTATGGCCTGCCTGGCCCCGGGGAATGTGCTGGCAGATTGCAGCAAGGTGCCAATACGGCATTTTAAAAGCATTTTGCAGACGGAGTCCATATGTTGTAACCAAATCACTGGATTTAACAGGTGAGAGAGACAGGAATCAAAAAGCTTCAAAGTCATACAAAGGGCTTCTTTTTGTTTATTTTATTGCAAAGATTCAATTATTTTAAAGCAGAATCATTTGTCCTTTTCTTTTCTCTTGAGTTATTGTAGTTAGAGTGGTGGTGTGTGGTAGAACCAAGAGTTCCAACACCCAGAGGTGTTCACTAACTCCCAGGTCACAGCTATGAAATGAATGAAAGCTAGCTGAACTGCAGGTGTGTTCCCGTTTAACAGCAACAATATCAAAGGGAAGACGAATATAATGCTGCATGTCAATTACACCTCAATAAAAAAAATTTTAATAGGTAAAGACTTAGAAAACTGATATATTAGGAAGTGATGGTTCATAACTACTACTGGTTCTCTGAAGAATTCTTTTATCAAGCACTCCTCCTTTGAGGATTTTAAAATGTAGTTTATTTGACAGCAGCTGTAATTATATGTAAATCCTCAGAAATGCGTTAGAAATAGGTCCAGTCTGACTTAATGTTTGATTCTTTATGTGAAAATGGGCTACCCACTACTCAGTTGGGGAACGGTTTTTCTCCCCACTTCTGCTCGCTGCTTCTGAGCTAACCTCAGCATAAGTCTAAGGTGCAATCTGCAGATACTAAACGGGTGGCTCTGAGGAAGAATGGGAGGAAGGAAGAAAGGAAAGGGCCAGAAGTTGCTTTCCATCCTAGCCTCCAGGGTTGGTCTCATTAGCGGCAGTGTTAGCTCAACCCATTTCCTCCTCCCCTACCCATTTCCCAAGCCTCACTCTCCGCCTCCCCCCAGAGTTGTACTCCTGCTCTAGCAGTGAAATACCCACACATTACTCGATTCCTTTGCACACACAAAGTCCCCCACTTACACTTAACCTTCTTTTTTCTCTCCCCCCACCCCCCTGGAATCTAAGTGGAAAGAAAGCAGAATAGAGAGGTAGTATTGTATAGAAGTTCAGCACCTGGGCTCTGGACCCAGACTACCTGGAATGTAATCTTGTCCCTGCCACTTACTAGCTATATAACCTAGGGCAAGTTATTTAGCCTCGATTCCCCTCCTGTTCATGGGGATGAAAATGACCTACTTAATAGGACTGTTATGAGGATTAAATTATTTCCTACTTGAAAACATTAAAACAGTATCTAGCATATAACAAGCATCATATAAGTGTCTGTAAAGTAAATAAGCCTTTTCATCCCCTTCTACTTTCATTGACAGGAAAAGTTCTAGGTGATGGTTGTAACTAATGTTCACCAATACCCAGTTGCTTTCTCCACCTCTTGAAATTAGTGTGGCCATGAACTAGTTCTTGTCAATGAAATGTGAATGGAAATGAGGTGTTTTGCTTCCTGGTGAAAGCAGATAAGAGTCAGGACTCAGTCAGTGACTGTGGAATGTCAAGCAACACAAGGAGAATAGGTGCCCAGAATCACCTAGACCTGCAATAGAAATTATCTAAGCAGGAAATAAACTTTGTTGTGTTGAGGCCCTAAGATTCTGGCACTGTTTGTTACTGTGCTATAACCTAGTCTATCCTGACTCACACAGGTTGTGAACTTGCTTTGGGTACAGGAAATTAGAGAAACAATAATTCCCTGACTGCAGATTAGAATCACTTGGGAAACATGTAAAAATTCCAATGTCCGGGTCACAGCGCCCCGACCAAGAAAATCAGAAATTCTGAGCATGAGACTCAGACATTAGTAGTTTTTAAACTTTCCCAGGTGATTTCAATGTGCGGGAAGTTTGAGAAACACTGTCCTAGAGCAATGCCACTCTCTATGGGGAATCTCTAGGATTTAGATATTGTGCGAAGATCCCCAACTGCAAGGATCAGACCTATGGTTACACCTACCCAGCAAAGATCCAACCCAAATATGTCCAACTGTGAGTTTCTCTATACTTGTAGCTGCTGAGCATCTCAGGAGAGAATCACAAAACCTGCAGGACTGATGCACATAGATTCAAGGCCTCCAAACTCCAAGTGCCCCTCTCAACACAGCCCTGTCCGTCTACACATCCTTAGTCCCCCGTCCCTTCCGTGCTCCGCAGCAGCTCTCTCAAAGCTTCTCCTCCCTCTCCACACCTCAGATGTCACCTT